GAAAATTTAAGGGCTTTGGGGAATATATTATATTGGCTGACATGATGAGTTTCCAAGGTACTTTTCAGGAGTATTTTATGGTAGCAATGCAAGAAAGTTTTGGTTTTCATCTGTTTTTCACAGAAACCACTGTTTACTAAGTCTGCTTTTCTTCGGGACATTCTAGCTGTAAAGCAGTTGCTTCTAATAATACTGCCAAGCTGGGGTTTCTTGGGGCTTTTACTTGATAGTACTCTTAATGCTGCTGAAGAAATTAATCTTTCTCTCCCAGTCTCAGTCTTTGCCACCTAGAAGATGCTGCTCTGGTCTCCCCAAGACTTAACAAATCTAAACAAAAGCCAGCTTCCCTGAAAGACTGGGCATTACAGATCACTGCAGGCAGGCTGGGATTTCCCACACTGGCCAGAGGTATCACTGGGCATCGAGCTGATGTCTCAGCTCAGGATCTTAGGTATGTGTTGGAGATTGCACAGGGAGGCACTGATAGCACTTCTCGATGACACGAAACGGCAGCCTAACCACATGTTCCTAACGCAGCCCAAGATGGAAGAAATTGTGGTCAAAAGCTTTGTTTGACAGGATAGCCATGTACAAAATGTCATTGAAGAGCAAAAAATTACAGCCTGTCACTGTCATGCTCTTCACAGATCCTGACAGCTCTTGAAAGCTGAAATCATGTACCCTCCCACTTGTACAAATTCAAGAAAATTGGTTCTGCTCTGCCACCACCAGCCAAGTGCTCTCTCCAGAATTAAGCATTTTAATGTGGGAAGTGAAAATGGTGAAAGTTCCCCCCTTTCTGCCCTGCTTGTTCCTTATCTCTGAGAGGACGAGAAGCACTACCTCCTACCAAGGCAAAGGATTTCTCAGTTAGACAAAATGATTTACAGGATGGATAACCACATAATGACAGGCATGAGACAAGTGCTATATTTACTACAGCTCTGTACAGGCTGATCTTGCATAAAATGAAGCCATTTAGTAATAACAGTCACTTCACGTCCTGCAAAACATCACTGTTTTTCCTTAGTTCTTACAAAATCAACCATATAGCTTTGGCAATGGTACTCAGAAATGCTGCACGCTGTTTGCCAGAAACAACTCCCTGGGGGGGTCACATACCGTCTCTGCTGGGAGACAAGCGTTCCAGGTACTTGCAAAACATTTGCCTTGAGAAGCCACAGCGATAACTGACCTGTACAGGAAGGTCTTTAACAAACTGCGGGAAGACTGTGTTGCTAATGGCTCTGGGCTGCTCCATCAGCATGACTGATAACTGCTGCTGAACTTGGTGAAACAGGTTGTTTACAAATCCCGACATAATATGTATTTTCCTGAAAGTCTGATAGACAATAATATGCGATTATGCAGATTATGGGTGCTGGAAGGTTCTTGTTTTGGCCAGACAACAGCTCTAGGGTATCTTTCAGTATAATGTTGTTTTTCAGTTCTGTGTTTCTTGATGAATGGTTGGTAGAGAAAGTAGATTTTTGCAGACTTAAAATTTGATCCAATGTGTGGATAGGAGAGCAGGACCCAGCATACCCAGTCCCACATTCAGCAGTATGAGCCACTGAGCTTCTCTCTGTCTCAGTTTCTCGCTCTGTCAGATGGAAAGTTTCTCGCTCTGTCAGATGGAAAGTTTCTTGCTCTGTCAGATGGAAGTAGGTTTTTCTTACCAGTTAGGGGAGTTGCAAGTCACACTGCTCATTTGTATTGGTGTTTGGGATCAAAGGTACTCGGCTACCTAAGCACCTGGTTTGGGGTTCCCTGGAGTCAACAACAGCGGCCTTTTGAAGCAGTCCTAGTTACTACGTAATAGTGATGTATTATAATCTGGGTATATCAGCTACTACATAATGCTCAAGCTGAAACTTCTAAATAGCACCCACTCACAGCTTGAGTCCTGCATCTGCATTCAAGGGCTTCAATAAACTGTCTGGTTTGCAGAAGCACTGAGCTGCAAATATGATGGGAGGTGATATAAGCTATCTAAACCTGCAGAAGATCATACTGCTGAAATCCTAGTTACTGAAGGCTTTTTTGCTTGAAAAGTCTTTCCTGAGTTAGTAAATAATAATGGTCACATAGCTCCAAAAAGAAAAGCTAGGATAGTCCTCATTCAGGTGGATGCACACATGGGTTTAGGGACATGCAGAACTATTAATGATATACTATCTTTTTATCCAATTCTTCTAGGATATTAGAATACTCTATTAAGCACACTAAGTTAAACTTCTCACTGTTGCTGATCTCAGCTCAAAAATAGAATTAGATAGGTCTGTGTGATGATGTGATGGGCAGTTGCTGAGCTAACTTGGCTATATTTCTCATGGTGTTTCTAAACATGCCACAGAACTGTTAGTAAGCACAGGATAATTGGTAACATGGGCTGGGACAACAGGGTGTCTATTTCATTGCTGCTTGACTAAGGACACATCAAACAATAGCTGGGTATCAGAAATGAGGACAAAGATAACCACTTTGAAACAGTTATAAATATTCTGCCTTCTAAAAGGGCCGTTTGGAATGTTTTCCTGTTTTTGAATGACACATCATTGTCATTTTAAAAAAACACTGAATGGAAGAGGGTCTGAGAGTCTTACAGCACATCACAGATGACGCAGCATCTATCCAAAGCTATGGCTGTCCAAGCGAGACACTGCCAGAATAGATCTGTTGCCCATCAGCAGGGCTGATGCACTGCTCTGTAGCAGACATGGAATTTCAACCCATGGTGTCCCTTGCTTCCCAATGCTAGTCATGGCACTCCTAATAGTGGAGCTATAGCTGCTGTATTTTTTTCCTATTTCTTTTTTTAGCTTGAAAAATTTCTAGCATCTGCTCCCTGGAAAGGGTTCTGTAGCAGGTTTGGTGCAGCAGACAGCTGTAGCAGGTAAGTCAACCGAACCACATAAGAGAGTGAATGAAACCAGAAAGGACCCAGAAGGGATACAAAAGAATAGAAAAGGAGTGAGAATTTCTAATAATGATGCACAAACCCTTTTAAACTAGACTATCGGTGGCTCTTGTATACCTTTACAAACAAGTTTCTGGATGCAGAATGCCTATTGAGACACGCTAATTTTTTTTTTTTTACTTAGGTCAGACCAAGAAGGCAAAAGGCCGTATTCTGCACCCTGTCTTTGCAATTCCCGTTACAATATGTGTGCACTGGAGAGCAAATCTATAACTTTGTGGAAGCATTAAGACCTTTTGGGGGAGTTTTATGTTCACATCTCTTTCTTTCTGCACACATTAGATATTCCTACCCCCTATGCAACAGGGCACGAAAGGTTTCTGGGAAACTGGGCACTGCCTTTTCACAAAAGGAGGACAGACGTGCCCTGAAGTCCTCCTACATGATACCAAATGCTGTGCATTCAACAAACCTGCTGGTTAATGATCTTGCCCATAAGTAATGTTTTAACCATAGAGTAGCTTTTGTTTGCTTCAAAAGCCACAAAGCCAAAGAGGAAGTGTAGGAGAACGTGGGCAGGACAGTGGCCAGGAGCCTCATGACTTCATCTTTTTCCGCCACATGGGGATTGGTGGCTGTGCCTGGGACAGGGTTTAAATTCCCCGAGGTCGGAGATGTCGGGCAGTCAGGGGATAAGGAGAGAAAGCCAGATCTGCTGGTAGCCAACCGGCTGGAGCTGCTGCTGGGATCACTAAGAGCGCTCTTGTCGCAGCTGACTCCTCCAGCACCAGAGAAGGTAATATTTTGCTTTTTTACCTGACGCGCCATTTTGTCTGCAGCTTTAGTCAAGGAAGTGTTGGGCAGGAGATCTTTGAAAACTGTTTCACCGGACAGGGACATCTGATGTTTCTCTGTGGAAGAAGGTGTGCTTTTATAGGAGCAACATTGCTTTAGTGATGCAAGGTATTATACATAGTCACAATTTTAAAACTGTGTGCTGATAGATGTCAGGAGGAAGTTACTGAAAACCCTGCCACTGAATCAAGTGCTGGAAACTCAAAGCTGGTACTTGAACACAGAAAGCTTCCTCTGTTGTGTAACCACTGCCTGGCAGTGTCCCTCTTTTTCCTGGCAGGCTTGCAGTTTGTGCTGCACACTACTGAATGGATGGGACACGCACTGTAACACTGTACAGAGAGTTACATTCTCTGTAACTCTTGAAATTGCAATACCTCTAATAGAGTGTCCTGCCTCAGGGCCAGCCTTATTGATGTATTTTAAATGTGCCCTTACTAGCCTTTCTTTTCTGCTATGATTTACTAAAGTTTTAAATGCCTCTTGTTCATCAGTAAATTGGTTTAATTTCTCAGGAATGTTCCTTAACCTGGGAATTGGTCTGTCAGCACCAAAATTTACTGTAGGTCAGCACTCTCCTAATTTCAGCAGGAATCACTCATTTATTAAAGTTCTAAAATGGCAATGTGGGCAGATATTTTACTTCATCTCTCGCTTGGAAACACAGGTTATTCTGTTCAAACTTCCTGAGGGGGAAATAAAGGTCTATCAATAAGAGCAGTTTATGTTCATATAAACTGAGTTTACTCACAGCGACTCCAGTTAATAACCCTGAAAACTAGTTTTAAAATAACTGAAAAGATAATCCAAGCTGAGTTTGTCTTGTCCTGTCTCTTCTGACAAAATGTTAAATGAAGGAAGATAAACCAAAGCTAATCTTTATAGCACTTTGTTTTTCACAAAGCTTTTCCTTTGCCACTGCAAGTCAGTAGATGACAGAAGGAGCCTGCTCGCCTTCTCAGTGTGGCTACTCTCACCACTGCTCAGCACTTCTCAGTACCTGGTTTTAAAATTCTTGTAGCTTTTGAGTTACAAAACAAGATGGGTGTGGGGTGGTGGTGGAGGACAGAAGAAAAAGATTGGCGTGGGCAGAATGAATCCTTAGCAGAGAGCTGGTCTTGGCACAGTGAAGGACACCAGGAGAAAGAAAAAGTCTATGGCATTTTTGTGGTATTTTACCTTGTTGACTCACTGTTCCAAAATATTTTCTAGGTAAAAAATCACAATGAAGGCGGCAGTTCTGTGTTTATGCCTTATCAGCATCACCGCTGCATGGCCAGTGAGTAAATCACAAATGCGTCTCAGTAATCACTTGCATATTTTCTTTGCATATTAGCAAGAAATTAATACTGACAAATACTTTTTCTCTTTTCTCCCTTCAAGGTGAGTAAATACAAGCAGCATGCCGTTTCTGCCAGCTCTGAAGAAAAATATGTAAGCTCCTTTTGTCTTTCTATTAATTTTCTTTAATAAATGCTTTTTGAATTTTTTTTTCTCTAATACACATTGTCTGATACTTGTTTTATGATTGTAGCTGCTTGCAGAATGTGTCCTCACCTGGCTGTTATGAGCAAGTTTCTTAGGCAGCCAAAGCAGAGTGCCATGGATGTCAGTAGACTTTTGCCATGTTAGGCGTCCTGGTTGTGGACTTCCGTTAGTTGTATCTCTGGACTAGCACTGTAAACTTCTTTTCTAAATGAAAAATGTGTAAGCTGCCAGTTAAAAAGAGAAAAGGACTGTAGCATGGCATAACTACTATAATCTACATTTCATTAGTGTGGATCAGATGACAATATTTGGTGCTGAAAGAGCACTTCAATTCCCATGATTTTTTTGAGTGGTGCGAGTGAACTGTGTTAGTCTTGTATATAGCTATTTGATTTATACTCCATTGCCAGCTACCACCCATGTAAAATAAATTCTTTGCTCTGAGAATCAGCTACTGCATTTAGTTTAGAGTCTTCATGATGTGGGAGATAAATCACTATTGGGAAAAGGACCTGAGAATTAGCAGAATGATGGTTGTTAGATATAACTCCAAATTTCACTCAATAAAAACCAGCTGGAGAAATTGATCTGAAATTCCCCAGGCTCTGCCAGTGGGAGAGGCACATCTTCTGTACTATATTGTTTGGGTATAATGTTCATCTGTGATCACGTCTTGTTCTGAGTCCTCTTCCTACTGCAATGAATTGCTGAGAACACATGCTGTACAAAGGGAGTATGTATTGCAGGTGCCACATCTGCGTGCAAACAAAGGTTGCGATGCAGGCAGCTTTGCCTACGCCTTTGTGGATTAAACCCCCCCCTTTTTTTTTCTCTTGAAGGATCCCAGGGGCCATCACTCACACAGATACCACCACCACCACATGAATTCTCAGTCTTTGGAGAGTCTGCAGCACACACAGAATGACCTGATGTCACCTCAGCAGGTATGGGCAACTAATGGGAAGAGAAAGCAGAGCACCTTTCAATGGCAAGATTTGCAAGTTAGGATTAAGTGCTTAAAGAACAGTCAACATGCTGATCAGCTCTGCTGTATATGCTTTAGTGTGCTAATAGTGAGTTTTATTCTATGTTGTTTTCAGACTCTTTACTCTTCAGAAGAAAGCGTGGATGTCCCAGTACAACCGGTAAGTGTTTTGAACAGCAAAATGTCAGCTGAGTGCTGCGGGGCAGCCAGTGTGTAGCAGCACTTATTTTCCTCAATCAAAAGCTTCAGGCAGGGTGAGGCGAGTTCGGAGCAATTAGCGTGCATAGCTCCTCAACAGTGCATAAGCCCTGGGTGAGCAGGACAGATACCAGTCTGCACATCTCATGTATATGTTCACTTGCCTGATGCATAATAAATGTTTTTCAGCACTTTCCTGATGTGTCAAGCAAGAGCCATGAAGATGTGGATGATGACAACGATGATAATGATTCCAATGACACAGATGAATCTGATGAGGTTGTCACGAGTTTTCCCACAGACATTCCAGTAACTGTACCCTTCCCTCCTTTCCCTTTCACCCGAGGAGACAACAGCGGCAGAGGCGACAGCGTGGCCTACAGGGTGAGGGCAAAAGCCACAGTGGTGGAGTCTAGCAAACTCCGCAAAGCTGCAAAAAAGGTAAATAGCTCTGAGCAATGGTACTGAGGTTTTTGGAAAAGGGTAGGGAACTTGAAAATGGACATGTTATTTTATGGGAGTCAGTTTTGAAAAGGATTGGTAAGGGGAAAGTACGCGTAAGTGAAGGAGTGCATTTCCTTTCTCTGGATACCCCAAACTAGGGGTTATTGATGGCTGTCGATGTGCCGAGGGAGGAGTGTTGCCTGCTGCTGCTAGCTGTGCAACACTGCAATTTGCACTATCATGATATACTTGCACACATGAAATGCGAGGCCGGGATCAAACTTCAGTTTCTCGTAATGTGAAATGTTCATGTAACTCCATAAAAGACCACCGTGTCTCCAGGCAGAGATGTATCATGCAGGCTTTGAGTGTCCCCGCAGCCTATGCAGCTTGCTTTGTTGCAGTACGGCAACACCTGTTGCAAGATCAGTTTCTCAGGAGTGACAGTGGCTCTTTCTTATTTTGCTTTCTACCACAGCTCATTGTGTATGATGCCAGTGAGGAGGATGAGAGTGCCCTGGATGCACACAGCCAGCAAACAGGGCTCTCCCGGGAGAAGCACGCCATCAGCAGGGAATGGGCTGACAAGAGCCACGGGCAGGACAGCAGTGAGCTGGACAGCAAGCAGCATGACCGGAGCATGGAAAACGACAGCCGGCAGAAATTTGATAGCCACGAGGCAGGAGATGATAGCAAGGCTGGTGTCAGAGGGGATAGCTACCAGACCATGGAAAGCAGGGAGAGCCAGGTCCGCGTTTCAGCTGAGACCCCTGACGATAACAGCAATCAAACGTTGGAGAGTGCTGAGGATGCTCGAGATCATCACAGCATTGAAAATAACGAAGTCACCCTTTAAAGGGAGACAAATTCCTACCTAAGGGGAGGGGGGAGTAGCTTCATTTCGGGTAACTGTTTGTAAGTGTAGAGCGTGTGGTGACTTTTGGGGTTTGGGGCAGCTTCTTTACCCGGTGGCCTCCCCTTGGCTGCCAGCAGTGCCAGCCCTCCACACCGCACATCGCACCGGCCTCACGGGATGCCGTTGGCAGAGGTGCGGGGAAGCGAGACGAACACTGTCGGACACGCAGAGCGAGCGTTACCTCCCTGGCATGCTGCTCTCTATACTGCCAGCCTGTATTTTGCTGTAACCAGATTTAAATAAAAACCACAAGACCCTGTACCTGTGGGCTCCATTACTGTTTGCCCGTTTGGGGCGGGGGGGCCTTCTGGCTGCTTCAGGAGCTTTAACGTCTCTCCTTCTTAAAATTGTGTGAAATAGCTGTTCCCCCCGCAATTTATTAAGGGGGTAAAACCCCTCCGCGGGGCCTCCTTCCACCTGTACCGAGGGAGAGCGGCGAGCTGGCCTGAAATGCCCGGCGCCGGCCCCTGCACCGCTACCACAGAGGCGCCGCAGCGCTTCCCGCCTCACGGCTCGGCTCGGGGCTTCAGGCCTTGCGGGGTGGGGGCGGGGGGGAAGGCACTCGCCGGGAGCGCGGCCCTGAGGGCCGCACCGCTCTCTCCGGGCACGGCGCAGGGAGGGAAGGAAGCCCCGGCCGCCGCTCCCGCTGGGAGGCAGGGCAACTACATCTCCCTCCGTACCCCGGGCTTTCCGGGCCGGCGCCGGAGGGCGGGGAAGGGGCGGAGGCGGCGGCGCCCCGCCCCGGGCGGCGGCGTGCTGATGGCGGGCCGTGGGGGCTGCA